GTGGGGCGGGATCCTCCATGTGGTGTGGGGCGGTAGAGCCCCGTCGCCGTGAGGGGGCTCTGGTTCAGTGTCGGCTGAGGCTGTGCCGCCATGCCCCCGTGAGGCGGGACCGCCGTGTTGGCTGAGGCGGTATCGCCGTGCGGGGTGAGGCGGGGCCGCCATGTTGTGTGAGGCGGTACCGGCAATGCCCCCGTGAGGCGGTGCCGCCGGAGTCCCAGTGAGGCGGGGCCGCCCTTGCGGAGAGGCCGGAGCGATGTGGGCGGTGCTGGGCAGGCTCGGCGTGGCGCAGGCCGCGGCCCCGGCCCGGCGGATCGCTGTGCTCACCGCGGGTGCGGCGCCGGAGGGGCCCTGTGGGGCGGGAGGAGGAGGAGGAGGAGGAGGGCGGTAGCAGCAGCCTGGCGGTGCCCGCTGTGCACTGTCCCAGGGCCGGTCCCCCCCCCCCCGGCCGGAGCTGTGGGCGCAGCAGGCGCACAGGCCTGCGCAGGCCTCCCTAGGTGCACCGGCCTCCCCTTGAGCTGTTTCAGATACATCAGCTTAGCCTCGCACCCTCTGCACCAGCCTGCTGCCAGCCTTGGCGTTCCTAACAACTGTTTTTCTCTCATCTTTCCAGCCGCAGGAGCCTTCTCCATCCCCCACGTTACCATGGCCACCCACTTCTCCAAGGATCAGGAGGAGAGAGTGCGTAGGAAATGGGTTACGTGGGATATTGCTGTGACACGTGTCTCTGCAAAGAGCCCTTCCCGCGATTACAGCCCCAACAGCAGGGCACTGGCTGCATCCTGCAGCTTTGGGGGGCAAAGTGGCTGCTAGTGCAGATTTTCCTGTGCTTTTGTCCTTCTGTTGGTGATTCAGATGCTGCACAACAGCACAGAGCTCACCTTGCTGCCCAAACACCCAGCACTGACACACTGGTGGTGCCGGGGGGTGTGCACTGATCCAGCTGTGCTCTATCACATAATTCTCCTTTTAAGCTTTGATTTTGTAAGATTAACTGCTGGGCTGACACGTGATTCCTGTAAGTGATCTCGTAGTAAAGATGGTTACCTGTGTGGTGGTTTGTAATTATGTGTACAGGGTTTGTCCTTCTGCATCTTGGGGTTTGTAATTACGTGTACAGGGTCTGTAATTCTATATATGGGGCTTATAATTCTATATATGGGGCTTGTCATCCTGTACCTGGAGTTTAAAATTCTCCGTGTGGGGTCTGTAACCCGCGCCAGCTCATCTGTTAGCGAAGCGCGTGTCAAAGCCTGTGCAGGCTGGGCACATTCCCCGTGCCCGGGGCATTCTGTGCCCACCTGTGCTCTCTCTGCTGTCTTTGCTGCCCGTGCCCAGCTGCGGGAGGTGAAGGGGGACCTGTTCTCGTGCCCGCCGTCGGACGCGCTGGCGCACTGCATCAGCGAGGACTGCCGCATGGGCGCCGGCATCGCCGTGCTCTTCAAGAAGAAGTTCGGGGGCGTCCAGGAGCTGCTGGACCAGAGTGAGTGGTACCTGCAGGAGCTGCAGGGAGGGCTGGTGCTCCAGGCTGTGCTCGGGGCTCCTGGAGTGGATGTGGGTGTTTTAAACGTGCTGTGATTTCTGCTCGCAGAGAAGAAGACGGGGGAGGTGGCTGTTCTGCAGAGGGATGACAGATACATTTACTACCTGGTAAGAGTTGGGGTGTCACTGGGGCACCTCCCTGTAGATAAACTGTAGTATCCAATATCATGAAGTTTTTAATGTGGGGGTTTTGGCCATGTTCATGGAATCACAGAATCCTGGAATGGTTTGGGTTGGAAAGGACCTTAAAGCTCATCCAGTCCCACCCCCTGCCATGGGCAGGGACACCTTCCACTATCCCATCTTGCTCCAAGCCCTGTCCAACCTGGCCTTGAACACTTCCAGGGACAAGACAGCCACAGCTTTCCTGAGCAACCTGTGGATTTTTTCCCAGTATCCCATCTAACCCTGCCCTCTGTCAGTGTGAAGCCATTTCCCCTTGTCCTGTCACTCCAGGCCCTTGTAAAAAATCTCTCTCCATCTTTCTTGTGGTCTCCCTTCAGGCACAGGAAGGGAGTTTCTGCAAAGGTTGTCTTAGGAAGAGGTGTGAGATGTGTTACTCAAACACTGCTGGTTGAGGAGCAGCCAGGCTGTTCCTGTGCATGTACATTTAACCTTTACATGGACAGAACTGGCTGCTGAATTAGAGTATTTTAAGCTGTGAATGTAGTGCTTTGTTCAAGTCTTTCCACAGTAGCAAATCCGGGTGGGGATTTTTGGAATGTCATGGAATATGTTTTATGACAGGCAGTAGTCTGCAGTGGTCGTGCCAAAGGCACAGCTGACCTTTTCTGTTGTGACATAGATTACAAAGCAGAAGGTGTCTCACAAACCAACCTACGAGAGCATGCGGAAGAGTTTGGAGGCCATGAGAGCTCACTGCCTGCACAACGGGGTCACAGACATCTCCATGCCCAGGTGAGGAACCAGGGGCTGGGATGGCACTACTTGGGTGTTTCGTGCCTAGAAGGATGTTTGAGGGTGAGCCCCTGCTGTGAAAGAAGAATCCAAGTATCCACCCCTATCCAACTCCTCTGTTCGGCTGGGCAGATGAAATTTGCATTTCCCAGTGCACTTCAGTACCAACAAAACACATTCGAGTGGTTTCCTTGTTCTCACTGTGTTCTGTTGGTTTATGGGGAGCTGAGCTGGGGCCACTTCAAACTGCAGCTGCTCCAAGGGCTGGTTGGGCACAGCATGAGGCCATTCCAGCTCCTGGGATGTCTTATCTTCCAGGATTGGATGTGGACTTGATGGCCTGCAGTGGGATAAAGTTTCGGCGATCCTCGGGGAAGTGTTTGAGAACACTGACATCAAGATCACAGTTTACAGCCTGTGAGCAGAAGAGTCGAAGAGCCCCTTTTCCCCCACTTTGGGAGTGGAAGCTGTGAACTGCCAAGGGGGGCCTGGGGAGCACGTTCTGGGTCCGGGGTCACTCACTCCTGGGACAGTGACAGAGGCTTCCAGCAGCAACAAGCTCCAGAGGAGTTCATTTGGGTGTTAATTAGAAGGTGGCAGCGGTGTGGTGGAAACCCTCGGGGTGTTCCCAGTGTGTCCCAGCAGCCACCAGGTGTCACTGGGCCTCCACGCAGCTCCTGCGGCTCCTGGGCAGTGGAACGGAGCTGCTGCCGCTGGGGGAGTTGTTTGGTTTCTGGTTGGGGTCGGTGCTGAGGAGCTGCCCCAGGGAGCCCTGTCACTGCTGTTCTGCAATGTCCTACCTGGCACTCGTTCACTTCACCTGTTCTTGCAGGGGTAACAGTTTAATTTCTCCCTTCTAGCCACAAATAGGGTTTGATGGTTTTGTGTTCACTGAGGATCATGCTGTGATGTTAAATAAATAGTGCCCTGCTGTTGGATCAGAGCTCATCCCTGTGGCTCTTCTGGGGGAAAGCTGGAAGTGTGTAAATACACCTTGGGGGTGTGTTTTATACAGTATGTGTATGATTTATAGTCTGCAGAGCTGAGTTTTTGGAGAATCCAAACGTGGGAATGACTTGTGCTCTGAAAAACTCACAGTGTGGAGTTTGGAGTTGGATTTTCACATTTCTTTGTTCACTGCATTTGTAGTTCAGGTTGGAGTTCATCACCCATAGCAGAAGCAAATCAGTAACACCCCTTGTTCATCAGATTGTTGGAAAACACCTGATTTTGGAAAGTTTGTGGCAGTTGCTCAGTTCTGGAACTTGACTCCCCATTTCCTTCATGTTTGGTTTCCCACCCTCCCACAATAACAAATCTTTTTCACTTCTTGTACTGAATGCCCAGAAAAGTTCCAGGTGTGCTGAATAAATGTAAAAATGGGACATAACAGTTGGGAAGTTTGTGGCATAACAGGGTTCCTGGTTGGATTTCCCTGGGAATAGAGTGGGTGGAGCATTCTCTAGTCTCAGCACTGTGATCCTGCTCTCCAGTGCTTGTGTGTACTCTGAAAGTTTTTTTGGCATACAGTTCTCCCTTCTCAGCTACGAAATATTCCCTACGTGGCTGTCCTGGGATGTCCTGTCCCACTTGTCAGGTTCAATTTAGGACCTCTTGCAAGTAGAGAAGAAGGAATAAACAGGGCTTTGGCTTTTGCAGTGACTTCCCATTTTATTTCACTTTGCTTTTCCCAGTTTTATATCCCAAATATCATTGCACAAGGGGAGAAGGTGTTCGATGTGTTTGAAATCAAGTTGTTGGGCTCCATCACAATTTAAAGCAGAGCTGTTGGCTCTGAATTAAATCACAGCTCTGACTGTTGGGAAGAACAGAGGGAGAAAACCTCTTTTTCACTTTAAACCTCTTTCTTTTTCCCATTTACGAAGTACAGAGTTTCTAATGTATTTATCTAACCAGCATCTTTGTTCTAAGATCTTTTCCCATGAAGTATTCCCAGAATGTGATCCCACAGTCTGTCCTGTAGGTCACTGCCATCCCTTTCACCACAGCATGGGTTTGGTTGGGGCAGGGAGGGGGAGGAACAAAATACACCCAAAAAAATCCCAAACACCAAAGGTCTGTGTTCATAGTCCCACAGGGCTTTGTCTTCCAGAAGCTGGTTCTCCATCCTGCTGGAGTCAAAGCTTTGGGAAGTGGAGTGTCCCAGGTGTCCAGGTCTGTCACTTCTCTTCGTAGATCTCTGAACAGGTCCTGGATGAAGAGATACATATTAGAAGTTTTAAATGCTTTGTGTTTCGTGCTTAAATAGGTGACTCTTTAGTACCCCATCAAAAAACCCAGGGAATTTTGCAATTGCAATTATTATTTCATTTAATGGTGTTTTTTTAGGGGGTTAAACTTCGTGGGGTGAGGAAAATCCCCTTTTCACTACATTCCTCTCCCTGTTTCCACCTGTGTCCTGCATATCATCCATGTGGGGAAAACCAGGTGTTCTGGTGGCACCTCGTGACTCAAATACCTTTTAATTCTTTATTCCTGGAGGTGTTTGCTCGGAGGAGAAAAAAGAAAAGCTCTAAATCCCTTAGGAATCTGCTGGGGGGAGCTCCTGCCATGTTCCTGCCCTGGGAGGGGAAAGTTCCTGCCTGAGGTTATTCTCAGTGTTCAGGTACAGGTGAACCCAGACTGTGACTGAACTTGGCTCTGGGTTATGACTTAATAAGAGAGGAGAGGTAACGTAACACAGGAGACGAGTGGGAATCATCACTCACGTGAGCCTCAGTGCAGGATCTCAGCCAGCTTTTCCTCGTAGTACTGGAAGTTCTCCTGAATGTCCTCCCACGGCACGAACGACTTCACCTCCTCCCCTTCCTCCTGCTCCACAAAGTTCTGCCAGACATACTCAAAGTCTTGAGGCTTCATGATCCTCAGCTTGCAGCCGGCCTCCTTCATGGCGCGGAGGGCGTCCCGCACCTCGGGCTCGTCCCACATGAAGAGCCTGCCCACCATGATGGTGAGGCGCAGGGCCCCGTTGGCACGCAGGGTGTCGGCGATGCGCCGGGCACAGCTCACGCAGGGGCTGGAGGACACGTACCAGGTGACGGAGCAGCGCGTGCCCGCCTCACACCGCGGCAGGATCGTGTCCAGAAAGGCCATCTCGGCGTGGGCGGCCGCGTGCTCGTCCTCCAGGTACCCCCGGCGCGTCGCTGACTCCTTGCCCTGCGTCTCCATCACGTAGCACAGGAAGGTTTTGTTCCTGCCCGAGCTGTATTCCACGTTCCGGAACTGGAATTTGAAGAATATGGCTGGGAGGCGTTCCCTGGGGAGAGGGCAGAGCAGAGAATGTCTCAGAGGCGGGTTTGGGTCGGGGTTGGGGCGCTGGGGCAGTTCCTGGGGGGACTGTGGACAAGCTGCTGCATCTCCCTGTGTTTATGTATTAAAAGGTTTATGTTGTGACTCTTGTTTACTAAAATATCCGAGATCAAATCCAACCTTGCTATGAAAAGGTGTGTTCCCTGCTCTCTGCCCTGGATAATGAGTGGTTCTTGGGTTGACAATTCTTTAATTGGTGACTGAAGGCCAGCTGTGGTGACTGACAGAAGCCACCCCTTGCCTTGTTCCAGAGCAAACTCTGTAAGGCCACAATAAGTTGTGTTACAATAACATCATGTATTTAAATACAGATCACATGGAGCTTCCTGCCTGATTTAACTCTCTGACAGCAAAGGGGATACAGCAGCGAGGGGGTTGGGTCTGTGTTTTCAGGAGCAGTTGAAGCAGCAGCGACTGCTCTGGGATGGATTGTCTTGGAGATGGATTTAGTCAGCCCTTCCAGATGGATTTTATTGCTTATCTCGGCGTGTGTCTGAGATTATCTGGGATGTTCACCTCAATCTGTGCTCCCAGCAGCATGGAATATACATCACTCCAATAAATGACTTTCCAATAGAGGATATAAACAACACTAAGGCAGCCCCTTCCAATGCCTGACAACCCTTTCCGTGAAGAAATTCCTCCTGATGTCCAACCTGAGCTTCCCCTGGCACAGCTTTTCCTCTCCTCCTGTCCCTTGTTCCCTGGGAGCAGAGCCTGACCCCCCGCCCCCAGCTCCACCCTCCTGTCAGGGAGTTGTAGAGAGCAAAAATCTCTATGGAAAGTTCTTTTTAAAATTATTTTCAGGCACTGAACTCCCACAATACTCTTAATAAATCACCTGCTGTGACACAACTCACCTGAGGGGGTGGGAAGGTAAAAGTTGAAACCTTCATTCTCCAACTGCTCTGAAAAGCATCATTAAATGGTGATTTTCAGTGATTTCTAAATGCTCAAACCTAATTTGTCAAAGTTTTCCCTGATTAGCAGTCTTTTGTCACCTGTTAGATCATATTGAGGCAAAAAAGATTGAAACTTCGAGGCAGAACCCTCAGTCTGTGAGAATCTCACTGGCCTGGCCAAATAATGTGATTTAAGGTGCTGAAATCAGGTGGGCTGAGGGAAAGAGCAGCTGCCAAACGTGACCCTGGCACTGTGTGTTGGGCAGGAGAGGGGAAGGAGAACTTCTAATGAGGGGATTGAAATGGGGATTATCTCAACGGAGCTGTAAATGAGCAACAGGAGCCAAGGGGTCACTTCTCACTGCTGTGAGGAGCCTCATTTACACCTGGGGAAAGTGTGAACAGCGTGTCAGACGTCAGGAAATGCTCACAGGTTGGGATTACAGTCAGCCAGGTCCGTGTTCAGCTGAATACCAACAAAAAAAAATGGGTTAATATTCTTAAAGTGAGTAATTGGCTTCCCAGTGCTCTCCTGTAAGCCGGGCTCCTCCGAGCTGGAGCAGCAGCCTGAGAACTGGGCTGTGAGTCATGAGATGCCCCTAATCCCGGGGCTAAAGCTGACATGACACGTAATTGGGTTTAAGTGCTTCCATGGCTGCAGTTGGGTGTTTCCTCATCATGCACATAACTGGCCTGATTGGCTGAAAATTTGTACATCATGAGAAAAATCCACTCCGAGATCACAGGTCGAGGCCTGTCCTGAACTCCCACTGTCCCTAAAATGAAAGTAAAAACCCCTGGGGTTTCTGTACCTCTTTCAGGGATTTCTGCTTCACTTCCTCACTCTCACCTTTCCAGGATAGAAAATCCTGTCAAATCCTCTAACACTCGTGGCATTTCAACAAATAATTTAATTGCAAGATGATGCTGAGAAAGGATTTTTCAGCCGTGATTAGCACAGATCCTTGGGGTTAGCAAGGAAGTTTGAAGATGCTGTTCCTCAGCATTTCTAATTGTAAACTGGGTGCTCTAAGGCTGAAAAATCCAATGTCCTCACTGACAGTCATTTTAGTACATTTTAAGTGTTCAGAAGTTGGTCCAATGGCTTATAGTCACAATTTTTGGTGCCTTAGCTCCATTCCTAGCAGAGGGATGTGCTTTTCTTAGAAGCCACTGCTTGGCATTGTTATTTCTATGATTGTGTGTGACAGAGATCACCCCGAGAAGGGATCTTTTCAGAGCAGACACATTTTGAGAAGAAAATGGAGGGTTTTTTCAGCCCTGCACAGGAATGTAACCCAATTTTGTGACAGCCAGAGGTGCTGTCCTGCCTCACTCATCCTTGTCAGAACACCAGCCAAATTTCATCTGCAGAATCTTCCTCACCAGTGCCCATGGCACAGGCAGGAGGATCCCAGGGGGGATTTTAGAGCCTGGCCTGAGCCTTGTGTTCCAGCAGCTGGAAGAAATGGTGGCTTTGCTGTATTTGCTGGGCCCTGCCTTGGTGAGTGATAAGGGGGGAATGACGAGGGGCATCTTGCTACTGCTGCAGTGAGCATTTGGAAACTTGGAGGGAGCAGATCCTGAGGGTTTTTCCTACTTGCAGCTGTCAGTTATGGCTGAGGGTTCAGCTTCCAGCAGGTCCCAGTGGTATCTGCCTTTCCCAAGGGCCGGGCTCGCTGCTGCTCTGCTGCCTTTAAAACTGTCCCTT